ATAACTCATAAGCTATATGAATTATCGATTAAAAAGTTTAGTATGTTATTTTTAAAGGTGTAAACTAACATAATATGAAAAAAATTTATTTATGAATTTTTTTAATTTCACACTAGGTGTGCCCTTAAGCTGATAAACTGTAAATACAATTTAACATCCTTTCTATAACAATTTTCTATGAGAAATGAAGTTTAGAATATCTCTACGGGTATTTAGATATTTACAGAAAGGACTTACTTTAAAGAAATCTTGTCGGATCTAATAAACGGCACATTAAATGGTAGAAGCATCGACAAAGTTCTTAGTTCTCAAACCGACTACTAAAGCTACAGTTAATGTGGCTGTAAATATTTGAGTTTTTTTCACCTCCAGCTGACACCATCTGACCGTATTTTATCGTGAGAAATGACTTGTGTTTCCCAACCAGCTTTGCTTTAAATATCCTCGTTACTGTACGCTTGCTCCTATTCTTCTAACGGACCTGATCTTCAGCTTCTAAAAAAGGTTGTTTGTTTGATCATCTAATTTCTGAGTTTCAGATCAGGGACTTCGTAAATTATTTCAACTATATGTTTTATATTAAATTGAAAACTTTGCCTTTAAGTGACTTCATGTTTTCTTAATCGATTAAAATGATCTTAGCCTAACTGCTAACTGTGGAGTCTCAACTCATCTATCCGAAAGCTCCAAAAAGCTTCACAAAATGTTGATCTTTTTTTAACAGAACTAAACTCTTAATTTCGTTTTCTCCTCTTCGAACAGTATTACAAAATAGCGTTCACATTTACTCCGTCCGAGCTTTATCGAACATTTTATCATACGGTATACGGCTACTCTCAAATTCAAATCGCCCGAAAACTTGTTACTGTACCCACATAAATAAATCAAATATGCTGTAAAATGCGTACTCATATATACTTTTTTATATTTATTCCAATCATTGCCTATTTTCCAGTTGTGCATCGATTTTCTATGCTTTAAGTCAGTTTTAGGAAATTTATTGTAAATTTTTTTATTGAAATTTGCAAAATTGTTTTATTACGATATTTTCTGCATTGTATTGTATCTATGAATTTGTGGTTTCTGTATGAAAAGTGCTGATTTAATCAAAATGCCATTTATTTTATTAAGCTTTCGCACAGCTTGGTGTGTTTGTGTGCGTGTGGGTTTGTTTTTGTTGCATTGGTGCACTAAAAGTGAATGTGTAAATCTCTTGCTGCTCGACTAACAACTGTTGAATACTATTGAATGGAATGTATTAATTTAATATACGCATAAATTTTATGTAATGTTACATTTTGCAAGGTTAGCAATACTAGCAACATTGCAGAATATAACAATTGCACTTAGTTGAGTTGCCTCAAATACTCGATTAGCAGAATTCCCAGATAGGTAGTTGGACGTTTTGTGGAATCGTGTGATCATCAGACCCCTCATATATTATATATAAATTAAAACTAGCAATTCTTAAAATTTGTATCGTGTCCTTCTTCCTTCATTATTACAATCACTTATATCTTTAAGATATCTACTTTACCATAAGTAACTTTTGCATTCGAATAAAAGAAATTCCATCTTTGCTTTACATAACCAGATCTGCGACCAGATTTTTAGCCAAGCCTACAAAATATGGCTATTCAGACTGGTTTCAATCTTTGCCATAATCCCGAATTATAACTTAAAATTACTTTTTTTTGACTATTCAACCTTCAGCGAAGTAAAGGTTTAGAGTATTAGACCTTATATAAATCCTCATCCGATAGCTGACCCCTGGAATAGAATCACACATAATCAGCTAAAGAGAAACCCTATGTAAAGTTATAAAAAATTTGCATTTGTAACTCATGAATCAATAAGAAGCCTTGAACACATCGCAAAGCTTATTGGGTGCTTATCTATTTCCGGTAGCTCATTTCAATGGCTGAAACTGTGAGAACAAAGGTGTGAGTTTCGTAATTTGTTAAACCAATTCTACAACTGGCTTTAGATATTTAACGTTACAGAGTGTACAGATTGTACAATAACTGTTTAAAGTTAAGGAAAGGCGCACTCTTGAGAGGACGCTAGACGCTAAACTTAGGTTTAGTTAATTAGTTATCGAGTTATTCTTAATTTTGGCTATTTTTCTTTCAAAGAGAAGAGTAGAAACTATTTGGTTTGCTAATCGAAAGCAGGGACATTCTCCTTCTTTCTATCATGACCTAAACAAACTAAGTAACTGGTTCGAAGTGACAACAGTTTTTAAAGAGTTATTTTTTATAGACCCTAATTAACTTCAAAACATTGATATCGATCTTCTCAAATACCAGCTACGTGGTATCCATTAGTTAGAAGTTTCCTTAAAAAATAGGTTAGAAATTTAATCATAACCTTACATATCGGTAAACATACAACAAATTATACCGCTATTGTTGCATATTGTCGTGCCTCCATATCTTTCAACAGAGCAATACAACAAAAATTAAATATTTTAAAGCAAAAAAGAAATTCGAAATTTTATACATTGTTTTTAACACAAATATACTAGCCCATTTCGCCTCATATTTGTACAACTACTTAGTAATAATGCAAAATAATAATATTTCATTTTATGTTGACATTTCGCCCATAATATCGTATAAATATAGCCATATTTGCATATTATGTTTGATTATGTGTACACTTTATTGATTACGATGTAATTAAAATTGTATTATAAAACAAAAATTGTGAATAAATTATGTGGTAAACACAGATGTTTGTGGGCTAAAACAATCGATGACATTAACGGTTTCAATTTTTATTGTTTATTGTTCTGAAATTAACTTTTTCCGCTATTGCATAGTTCTTTTGTTTCGAAAGAGTAAATAAATCAAAGTAAATGTATATGTATTATATGCTCCACAGCTGAACATCAGAGCCATCGGGGAGGTAGGGAAGTACCATGCTTCCTTTTTTTATGGAGGAATTAATTATTGGAACAAGTTGCTGGTTTTATTGAATACAAATAGCTACAACCCTTCTTTAAGACTTACCACGATTTTGGTATGTAAAAAAATCAAAGATATAGGTATCTTGAACATACGGTTCAAGAATAAGTGGGCACGGCATTTGCAAACTATATGTAAAGTGGGCGTCATACAAGCACGAGCATAACCGACTAAATACAGCAGCGAATGGATGACTAGAAGTAGTTTTTAGAGCTTTTCAATCGTAATAAACTCGATGAATTGAATCTGAAGACCAAAAAATCAATAGGCTAAGATATGGAGTCTATATTTTGGTAACATATTATGAATATGAATATTATTTATAGTTATTGTAATGTTTGAATGACGAAATCGGGGAATTTTTGATTCCGTCAAGGATATGCATTGTGTCACAAATTAAGGATAACTATGACAAATATCATGGAATGGATTTCGAATTGCGTCTACATTCCACATATTTTCCGGATCTCACCTTCAGTTTTTACTGTTCTCAGATCTCGCTAGAAGGAAATTTTGCGGTAAGGAAGACAGAATTAGAGGACTATTTTACTGTCTATCTTACAGCTGAAACTGTATGTCATTTAGTATACAGTTAGTACATTGTACCACATATCTTCTTCTTCTCCTTTAATGGCGTAGACACCGTTTGCGCAGTTATATCCGAGTTAACAACAGCATGCCAGCCGTTTCTTCTCTTCGCTATCTTTCCCCAATTCGAGATACCAAGTGCAGCCCTGTACTTCCCCACCTGATCTCTATAATGGAGTGGAGATCTTCCCCTTGCTCTGCTTCCATCGACATCCACTTAATCGAATATTTTCAATGCTGGAGTGTTCTTATACATCCGGACAACATAACCTAATCAGCATAGCCATTGCCTCTTGATTCGCTGAACTATGTCAATGTCACCGTATATCTCGTACAGCTCATGGTTCCATCGATATCGTTCCATGTGGTATTCGCCATAAAGCAAAGGATTATAAATCTTCAGCAAAACCTTTCTCTCGACCACTTCTGACGCCGACTCAACAGATGATGGACTTATAGAGTGTGATAACTGTTTGATGGCAGGAGTCTTGTCTTCGTTCACAACCAGATCCACTTTGGAAAAAGCAAAACTAGTGGCACGGTTGTTGAGGCCAATTATATCAATGTCTCTATTTGGCTCTGCATTATTTTCTCCAGTCTCGCTTGGTATGGAACAGCTCGGAGAGATCCTTCCCGATACTAACGGAGCTTTTTTTATTGCTCAACGTCAGTTTACACAGCCGTACTACAGATCATTCTGAACAATTTTGTCTAAGAGAGTATGAGCCGGTTGCAAACCATCGACTTTCAAGGCGAAGTTTTATAAAAATTTGTTCGTCAAATTTTAAAATACCCGAATCAAATTTAATACACGGGTGTATTTTACTATTGGGCAGATTTTTTGTTGGAATCATCCAGATCGGACTGCTATAATGTATATCTCCCATCCAACCGATTTTTTATAATTTTTATACATCATTTAATTTAAAAGCTAAGAGGACACAATTATGCAGAATTGTCCTTTAATATATACTTGACAATGACAGTGAAAATAAACAAAAATGGACATTCGAACTCTTGACGTCGTTATGCAGTTCATTAAAAACATATTCCCATTTTTTTGATAGTGTATAAAAATGTGCACGTTCACAAAGGACTTCTATAGAATATTCCAAGAGTCGCCTCAATAGATGTTATTACAGTCACCATGTGTGGGATCTCTTCTTCTCAGCTGGTTATACCGTCCAAAATAGCACTTGTTGGCTAAGGCTGAAGTCAAGACCCTGGCTTCTCCAGAGTCTTTTTAGCGAATATTGAATGTCTGGTCAAAAGTAGACTTATATGTAGTAGTTGGGACTTCAACAGTTCACGCGATAGAACCTTACGTGTCATAACTTTTTGGTATAAGTTTTGTGAACCCAGAAGCCTAATTGGAAAGACCAAAATCAGCCGTCGAAGCCCAAAATAAATATCTCGAATCCAAAATCTTGAGTAAAACAACAATTTTCACACATTCATTGGAATTATATTTCGTTTTATTTAATTGTTTTTTGTTTTGCGCATTTTTTTATTTTATATTAACTAGTTTTTTGGTTTTGTAATATTAAATATTTTAAGCTACAATAATCGTTTCCGTTTAAATTCACGATAATCATACTTCATTTAGTTTTGTGTGTGTACATTCAATTTGGACTTATGCACTTACTTAGTAAAATCTTTCAAGTTCTCTATTATATTTCTTTGTTTCGTTTTTACGACACAGATGTGAAATTCTTAAAGAATTTCTTTTAAAAAAGTACAAAAACGATGTTGAATACTCGTCAATGATTCTTATTGGAAAAAGTGTGGATAAATAATGGAAAAAAATATGTATTTTATTAAAAAATTAGATTTTGGAAGAAAATTTTGTGTAAGGATACTAAGAGTTTTAATGCCGGCTTGCAGGGTTGCATGTGAAGTTAAGCATAGCGTTATAACTATATAAAAATTTTATGTCTTGACTAAATTTTTATGTTCTATGCTAAAAACCCTATTATATAGAATTAATCCAATGATCTATAGTATTATCATTAAACAAAGCATTGCAAAAAAAATGGGATCCCGAAATTTAAATTTCAAAATCACGACATTCGGGATTAAAATAATGTTAACATTATCAATAAAGAATCATTAAAAAGTAAAAGTTAAAAATTCAAACCCTTAAACATTAAAAAAAAAAAACTGGGATCCCAAAAGTAATATTACAGAATCCTGTATTTTTGAGAATAAAATACTGTTCATTATTAGTAATAAAAAATCAATAAAATTTTTAAATGTGAAATATTAAAAACTCAAAACATTCATAAAAAAAAACATCATTAACAATCCTGAAAGTTCACAGTAATCTTTATTATTATCAATAATGAAACAATTAAAATGTCAAAAGTTAAAAATTTTAAAAAGCTTATTTTTCGAAAGGAAACACTTCAGGATCCCGAAATTAATATTTCATAATCCCGAAAATTCGGGATTGACAAAAATCAACAAAATCAAAACTGGCAAAAAAAAAAACAAATTTTCTAAATCTATCACAGAATCTGAAAGCAGTGTAATTCTTTAAAATGTATTCATATAAACACTTCCATAAAATGTATAGTAAATATAATCAGTGTCCACTACAACGCATTATATGTAAATACATATGCAGAGTATTCAAAATAAATCAGGTACATAAAAATATAACAGAATTAACTACAATACATACATATCTGCATATATACTCATACTAATTTCAATAATCGTAAACATTCAACAACTATGCATGTAGTAGTGTGTATCAAATATCTTTTTAACAGAGATTTCACCTCACTAAAGGCCCTATTACCACATATATGTATGTATGTATGGATTTTACCAATCGTTTGCTAAAGAACAAGTAAAGCATTTTGGGAGAGGGAAATAGGAGAGAGGAAGGCATGAATTGTTAGAGTGACTTACTATATATGGATGTATGTATATTTATGTTCAACCACACATATAAATACATAATTACCTACATATATACCATGTGTATGCATATGTGTTAGTAGTGTTGGTGCATCGAACTTAAACGTACGCACTAAATTTGACATATTCACTAAGTGAGTATCCTAAGCCAACTACTAAACATGTTTGCCAGATAATATTCGTAACGGTTCGTCGAGCGAAATTTGTTAGTGTTGCGAAAATTTTCACCGTACTCCAATCGCTAAGACCAGCTAGATTGCGCGTTGCAGCACGTACTAAATACGTGGTGTTGCGGCCCAAGCCGTCGAGCACAAACCGTCCACCTGTATGCGTGTGTTGGGGGTAACGTGAGGAAAGGAGTTGTGATAAAAGACAAGACCTGAATATAAAGTTTAGATAATGTGGTATTTTAAATATATATGAAATTTATTTGCATTGACGAATTTTAAATTGGATTTAATGGAATTATATTTTAATGCACAAAACCCAAAAAAAGAAGATTGTACAATGAAAGATAAATATGTAAATGATATAATAAAATAATAATAATATCGAAAGGAAATCACTTTTCGCTTACTCTATATTTTTCTCCTGCGCTCTCTATATGTTTCTACTTCACTCTACCTCAATTCTCTCTCTCTCTCCAGCTCTTTATCTATCTCCTCCGCTCTTTTATCTCTCCCGCGCTTTTCAATCTTAATTCTATATTTTTCTCTTCATATTTTTTATTTTAACAAGTTTAGAGAATTTATGAAAAGAAAACAAGAAAAAGGGTTAATTTCGGCTGCACCCTTTACAGGTGCACTTCTTATAACATAGCCACTATATGTATAACTGTAAACGTGCGATTCCGGCATATCAGCACCTTTTTAAGAGAAAAGAACGTGTGCACAGTTTCAGACCGATATCTCAGAAACCCAGGGTATAAACAGACAGACATGGCGAAATCGACTCAGATCGTCAAGCCGATCATTTATATAAAATATATATAGAGTCCCCGAAATTTTCTTCAGGGTGTTACAAACTTCGTGGTAAACTAAATATAAGTATTCTGTTCGTGGTATAATAAACAGTATAAATAAATCGGTTATCTGTCAATTATCATTTGCTTCCTAACTATTTTCGACATTGCCGGGATAGGGAATCTATAAACACTCCGAATTGACCTTTGTTTGTAGACTACTTGTTATAGAGATTTAGCACTTATTTGCCTTTACTGCTTATCATGTCCTTATCTTATATTTAAGAAAAAACTATTATTCTTGTTTAGCTATGAATAAAAGATTTTAAAAAATGTCTAAAATTTGCACTGCGAGCTCTTGCCTTAAATATGGTTTTGTATCTTACTTATTCCTTTCGTTCCATTGATTTTTTTTAGCAACTCCCAGACTCCCACGCGAGCGACTGAAATTTCAAGTAATAGTTTATGCGGGTTACCAAGTCTTTGCGGAATAAGTATTCTGTCTAATAATATGCTCTGTTTGCCAAGCAAAGAGATGAGTTCAGGGAACTTTGAAAATATGTGGTTGAATTGGTCGATTTCACGTTCAAGTAGACGTTCCTTAAGTTCATATATTATATCAGAGATAACAGATAAAACATGAAACCACCTTAAAATCGTTGAGCTTTTATATAAAACAAATCAAAACAAAATAAAATACTTGTGTGCATCGAAAATAAAACTCAGACAACTGATGATTTTAAATAATAAATGCTTTAGTTTAATTTAAAAAAAAAATGAGGAAATATACATTACAATGAATAAAAATAATTTCTAAAAACAAACAATTTTTTCTTCTTCAAAATTTTACCTCATTTGCATTCACTTAGCACTTAGGGCGCAGCACTTACCTCGTTGCAAGTGAAAATCCTTATGCTTTGCATAACTCCAATTGCCTGCGCTATGCTTAAAATCTCCCTCACTCATATATTGCACACGATAGCCGTACGTATGCATATTATCCTCAACATTCGAATACTTCACCGATCGGATGTCGAGGTCGAAACTATCGGTGAGTGCACGCAGCAATTGAAAACGTGTCGGTCCGCTCGGCTTCTGGCCCTTACGCAGTTTAACTATGCGCTCCAGCATGCCCAACGGATTGGCAACTTTACACTTATAATCGCCGAGTTGTGATTCATTTCGGACATGTATCTGTAGCGTTGAACCGTAATCGGCATAGAAAATCCGATAATTACGTCCGGTAATGGCACGACCCTCATGCACCCAGGTGAACGAAGGTGGCGGCTCACCCATCGCATCACATGAGATATTCACCATACCGCCGATATACGCATATTGCACCAATGAAGTATCATTATCGAACCAATGTGGCTTATCTAATGTCGGCAAAGCGAAAAGCAGCGGACGGTAGGTGGGCGTAGAGAGATATGCGATGCGATGCGATATTGTATTAAAAAAGAAAGAGCGTTGTCGGAATTAAATGAATTGAATGCTAGTTTCAAGAGAACTGTAAATATGATTAGGTGAGTTTCGCAGGATATGTGCATACACTACTCTATATCCATATGTGTTTATGTATGTATGTATGTGTGCGTCGAATGTGTTGGCGTTATTGTTGTAAACTTGTAGTTTGTGCATATTTTGTTAGTTTGCTAGCTGATTTTTAAATTTTTTTAAACGCAAGGCTGTAAAAGCTTTAGTTAAGTTTAGTTTTTTACTGAGCTTTTAAAATATTTGTTGGCTAGCGGAATGATTTGTTGATTCCCAAATAGTTTTTAAGCAATAATCAATATTAAAGTACTCCAAAACTGAAGAAATTTAAAACATAAAAACTTCTTTGATAACTTTAATAATTCGTTAGCACAGAAGCCAACTTTAATATTAATATAATACTATGGCGCAGATCACAATCCGAAAAAAATCGATCGAGGTGATAGGTATATATAAGTCCACCCTTTAAGAACCTTAAACGCCTCACTTAAGGGTTTGGGTATTCGGGTAGAGACATAAAGTATTCAGAACGTGGCAGATAACGAAGACTATACATACTTGTATGAAAAGAGTATAGTTGGTTGATTTAAAAAGCGTATTTAATTTATGAAGTGTAGTATTTACTATACTATAAGTACTTTCTCAAAGTTTAAAATATTTCTCCAAAACTAATGTAGGAACTACAACAGTAAAAGTGGTCTAATATGGAGATTGTGGAGGAATAAAAACCCATATACCGATGGTTAGACGACTGGACTCGATCTTTTCAAATTTGCTTTTATATAAAAACTTGGAACTTTAATGTGATAAATATTGTATATCACTAAGAATATGTTCACCAAATCAAAGGAGTAAGAACCTAATAAATTGTGAGATGTGACCAAACAAATACGACAGTATATTTGCCCTCGGGTTTTAGTTCCCACCTCCACACTGTTTGGAAACCGAACGCAACATCGCTTTCAATATCTTTCTGCATTTCGAAAAACTTTTTAAGTAAGTACTTTGGGTGCATGGAGGTGACTCTTGGAGTATTTTAAAGGAGAAAGTTCTGCGAAGACATTGATAATATCACAGGAATTATGCCAAAACTCAACGAAGAAAACTGAAATTTGGCCGTCCAATCCTTATGGCATAATCTCATTGTTACGTGATACCATCTAGTATTATTTTGTCAACCGCTCGGAGCCAAATTAATGCTTCTAAGGCCTCGTACCCGATTTACTCTTTCGAAAAGTTAGCACATGAAGAGGAGTAGAAATTATTTTAAAGAACCAAAGATCGTTCGTGTAATTGAAAGTTCCCAAGTAACCCTATTAAACTATTTATTTTTTGTATATATTATAGGCAAAGCTAATCGATCCAAAAATAGGTTTTAAAAAATAAACACACCCTAACGTTGCAATACGTTTCTGTATGAAGCTTTTAGGCGCATCAGTAGCGCCACATAGCCAGACAGTAAGTCAGTCGCTTAGCTTAACAAAATCCCGGTTATTTAAATTTTTCTCCAGCTTATGCAACTAACCAGCCCCGAGAGGCGCGCACATACTCAGTTATGTATCATATATAACATATGTTCGTATGTATGCTGGTAATATGAACTTTCAGCCCCTTCTAGTGGGGATTTAATGTAAAACTTCTGCAGCAAATAGTTTGCTAAAAACTTTCGCTCCAAGCACCAAATTGCAATTCCACCCATTTTGCGGAACTTTCACTGCGCCCGAACTGAAACTCTTCCACTAGTTCATATACGCATGTACTTATGTAAGTATACATACATGTCTACCCACTTGCCTACCTAGAATTGTACGCAGTGGCAAAGTAACATATCGTTTCGCCCAATCCAATCAATTTGAATAGTGGTTAGTGCCGTACTACATCTCCAACAACTCAGCTTCAGTTACACTGGAGTGTCTTCTTGGTAAGGCAGCAGCAGCAGCCGATGGAGTTCGGAGCAAAAGGGGACTACAGAGTGGTTGTTAGTTAGCATGCACTGCGAATGCAAAATATGTTTTGCTGCCAAAGTAAAGTGGTGTACCATTCTCTGCCATCACCACCGACAGCGCCACCACCTGCCCTTAGTAACTATTCACTTGCGTCTTTGCCTACGCATTCTCCTTCAGGTTTAACCGCCCGTCCGTCCGCCCGTTTGATAATGTCAAAGCAAGTGTAGAGCCGTTTGCCTTTAAAGTTTCAGTTTCATTTCATTAGGCAAATGCGTTTGCGGCATTGATGCCGCTCGCCACCCTGCCTCTCCCCTGTTTGCGTGGTGGCTAAACGTCTATCCGCCTGTGCTTTGTTTGGACCGTCGATCCTCTCATCCGTTCGTTCAACGTTAAGCCCCCATACTTCATCAACAAACAGAAATATTTCTACATCCGTTTCGATTTTTTATCCACACTTTTTGAAGTTTACTATGGAAGCTACAAATTTGCTAGCAATTAAAAGTGTATTTGAGGATAAATGAATTGGGCAAATATATTTGGTAGGGCTCTGAAAGTTGATAATGTTTACTGCATTGGTATTTGATTTTAATCCTTTATTGTTTTATTGGGGAAAACGATTGTTGAAGTGTTGCGAGAAGAAGGGGTAAAAGAGATTTAAAAAAATTGCTGGTTTTTCTAATAAAAAAATGTAGGTAGGTAGGCTTTGGATTGCCAAAAGATTTTCAATAGACTTTCTATTTATTACTTAAATGTGAAGAATGTTTAGTGTGTAATATGATCTGCTCTCTTTGCACATTGGAATATCTACATGAATGACTAAAAGAAATGGTAAAACCTTCCTTTCCATATGCTTCATGCCTCTGGCATTATGAAACTGATCGCGTTGCCAGCACTATAGAATTATGGATAAAATGATTTCAATTAAAAGCAATCCCAAAAGCCTTTTACGATCCTATTTTATCTAAAAGATTAGCTGTTTATCTATTCCCGGTTAAACTTAAACTATTCGAGGTAAGGAGGATAATTATCCCAAATCAGAAAAAGCCAAAGGTATATTAAAGGTAGGAGCTTCGAAGAACGCGACTCGTAACTAAAATGTTTATTTAAAGAAGTACTGCTACTTTGGCTTTTACTGCTACTTTGGCTTTTACTTAGTCGGAAATTTTTAGATAAATCATGTCTTAGAAAGATTTAGTAGGAGATATTTTCAGAGTCCACCTGTTAAGTCGTCCTATTATAGGAAAATTAATTTCTCAATAATTGTGATCTTAACCAATAAACTGCCCTTGTTAGACAAGTGAACGATCAGAAGAATGGGATTAGCGGAGAGAGAAAACACGTTCGAGATGGTATTACCTAAATCTGGATCTATAAACTCGGTTTGATTAAGAGGGATTTGTGGCAGTTTTCGCTTGTTAGCTCTCCCTAGAGTGCGACACTAAGCCGAAGCAGTTATTCGAACCATTTCTAATTTAATTCTTTATTTCGAAATTATTTGCTTGCTTTGAACATATCCATACAAATATTATACAGATATATTATTATATATTTATATGTATATATGCAGATTTAGAGGAGAAAAGTTTTCTGCTTATAGAAAGTTTTTATTTCGCTTAAATTTTTATTTAAGCAATAACTTTCTCTACCACAATTCGTACAAAAGTTGAATGAGACGCAAGTTGCATTTAAATCATAACAGTTGCCACAGACCCATATTGAAGCATATACGTATGTACATAGTACTTACATACAAATGTGCAGTGAGTAAAGTTGCACTGCTTTGTGAAATTGATTTGGTGTACAGGGTTGTTCAATATTTGGTTGTTTTATTATAAAAAACGCGAATTTCTTGGGAATATAAACCTTTTTAGTAATAACTTGAAACATTGCATTTTAGTGGTGGTCTTCGAGTCTATTGTCTATGAAAAGAATTATATCTTTTTCAATCTAGCAATAGGCAAAAGTGATTTTTTTGACCGTTCTAACCAAATATGATTTCACACCACTGATTACGACGGTTATAGAAAATAACGGATCGCCTGTTGTGAAATCCTCGACTCATATTTTAAAAGCGCTGTCGTCGAAGGAACTGTTTCGCTTCAGTCTTGAAAAGATTTTTCAGTCGACAAACTTCATGAAACTATTAATTATTTATGTTTTTTGAAGTCCATTCTATTGTGTTTATAAATCTTGAGACGTCGCAACCGGTAAGAGGCAATATTATCGGGGAGTTGTGGAACAGCAAGTTGGGTTAGGTTTCGTATTGAAGGCAAACCTCGAGATGGGATGAGATATCACATTTTGACAATTGCAGGCAAGACAAGACAGATGAGTTTAAACTCACGTGTATCGACAAAGGTTTTTAAACATATCAAACATCTACAAAGGCTATTGGTTTTGATACCAGCTAATGCCACAATTGCTTATAGGAAGAACCAAGACTCGAACTCGAAATTTACTTTAAAACTGAGTGTGCCGCCTCTAAGAGTGCCAGATTTTACCCTCAGGCTAGGCAAAAAAAAAATTTTTTTTGCTCTACCCTAATATATATCTTTATAAAAATGTTTAGAGCAGACAAATTGGTGAAAGGACGTGCAAGCAAACAAACTAACGAAATAAGCATTAATATATACTGCATACATACATACAATTATATGTATGTACGTGTATGTAAGGATACAAGTGAGTTGCAATGTCTATATGTATGCGTATACAATGTGCTATTATGGGTGTATAGCGGTGTGCGTGAATTCATCGCTTTCGGTTTTCGTAATGAAGTGCACTTTAGCGCCGCCTGAGCGTCAATATTCGAACATCCACACACATACATACAGGCATATGCAAGCATTTATGCAAGCAGTTATGTGGATGTATGTATGTTTGTGGGAAAGGAAATTTACGCTGCTGAAATACTTTCAGATAGAGACAACACTTTCGCGTGAACCCAACTGGTGCTCATACCTGCAATACTATACATATTTACAAATATATTGTATATGTATGTATGTAAGTACATTTATGCATTCATGTTGAGTATATGCGCGCAGTTAAATGCAAGTTTTCGCTCCCATGTGTGTACTGGGTGGCAAACACCGTCGGCACTCCAACAACACTATGGAGTGAGTGCACCGAATAACTGTAAATTAAATGCATGCGCTGCTAACTCGTCTAAAGCCGCTATTATACAACCTCACTCGTCTTCCTTGCCTCCCACACAGTATTACGCTCGTACAGTGTTGCATGCAGCACAGTTCGGTTAAGAACCGCTTACCGCACTACCGTTTTGACACTTATATACCCATATAAGTAAAAATATGTATATGTATGGTTGGAAGTGCGTGTAAATGTGTGTGCAGCAATATTCAATTGTATGTGTACGTGATCGTAATGCATGCCAGCAACTTTAAAAATCCAATTGTATGTATGTATGTGTAGGTGTGTGAGTGTTTTGCTTTGGGAGTCCATTGAATACACTTACGCTGTATCCTCAGTAGAATCGTAATTTGTTCGGAATCCGCAAAAGTTGGTGTGATTCGCATCGCACGACACGTGTATTCACCAGCATCCGATTGCTGTACATTCTTGATGAAGAGTCCATCCGAGAGTTTTTTGTATTTGGTCGAATTGACGGCTGTGTTGTAGAAATAGTAACGAAATGACATGGAAATGTTCAAAACAAATTTTTTTAACTGCGTGAAATATTTGAAACATTATTATTACATATAATATAAATGCATAATAAAAGTCTATACAAACAACTAGCTGAAAATGTTTGACAACATATATGGAAAGATATATATAATATTGAAAAATCTCTTTTTTAATGTTAAAAAATATTTTAGAAATCAAGTTTACAATATTAAATTTTGATTTTCGAACAACTTAGTAAATTATCCAAAAATAATATTTTTTGGTAAACTTGACTTAAAAAGACCTAACTTATAATAAATATAGATGCATTTTAATTAGTAATTGGGTTTCGAAATAAAATTTTAGTTTGGAAAATTTTCATATTATTCTAAAATATAATTGAATTATGAAAATTATATTTTAATATACGAATTAACTGTTACTATTATTGTTTTTCTTTACTTTTAAGCTACAGAATCTTTCAACTGAATGGTTTTGAGAACATTACACAAGTCAATAATTTTAGAAAGAGTTTTTGCTACTTAGGAATAAACGTAAAGTTTCCGAAATAATACCACACAACGGTTTTTGATTAAAGAAAAAATTATTATTGAATTTAAATGAAGAATTCGACGAGATCTTGGTCACGAGATCTAGCTCAGCTAACCGTTACAATTTACTTAAACTTGAACGAAAACTTTGAGTTTTCGAACATTCAAATATAATATAATGTTAGAATGATTTGTAACACGTTTCGGTTAGTATAAAACTCAAAATCCTTGCAAGGTGTTTTAGGTATAAAATCCTGTGCTTACATAGATTTTTCTAAGACGATCTTAGGTCGGACAATTTTTTTTTATCTTTACATATATTATTTTTAAAATTTTAAAATATATAATTGTTTTATAAATAACTGTAATGAACCTTAAATTAGGAAAGTGTCATCTAAAAGATATTTTGAACTGAATCTGTATTGAAGTACGAAAATTATAAGGTTCACAATGATTTATGACTCCCAAGGAAATTTAGGAGAAATCTTGTATATAATGGCGGGCGGTGGACAGCGGCTCTTAGTGTGGATTTGAAAAAACATGAAAAATTAAATATTAAAATATGGACGAGGGAAAGAGAAGGTCAGAGCCGACCGAAAAAATGCACAACCCAAGCAAAATCCCTACCAGTAGGCGGGTTCTTATCATATGCGATGACGGTGTTGTTCTCCGCAAAGCGTTATGCAAACTCCTCTTTAGAAACGTGGTTAAACCTGCAAGGGTCCATAACTCAATAAAAGTTGGCAGGAGTTTACGGATTGAAAATGTAAATAAGGTTGTAGTGCGCGGCGGAATCGCCAGTATCAGCAAAGACTCCTCTGCTAGGTTGGAGAGCGAGTTCGGAGACCACAAAAAACTCTATGTTGTCCGACTAAAAATCTTCATGCTTAATAATTAACACGAGTTCATGTGTTTCTTGTTATTACTATACAGTTTTATCTTTTTCAAAAACAGATGAATATAACTAGGAGAAGAAGACTTCTCAACCAATATATAATAAAAAATTCCTGTGAAAGAAAACTACACAGCAGACAGGAAAAAAATTGTCAATGGGTTATATGCTTTGACGAAATTGATTCTAGTGCTTTTCGATATAGCCAGATACTCAGCAAATACCGAAGGGAAAAAAACTCCAAATCTACGCAGGCAACTAAATTGCAATATAAAAACTGCCATTAGTGTATTTCCTGATTAAGATCCAGACCGGTAATATTACAAGTTTAAGAAAGCTAATTCAAGTACCATCCAACGTTCTCCCAAAAAGTACTACTTAAATTATTTACACCAGCAAACAGCTTACCTAGCGTAATCATACAACTTTTTCTGAACTAATTTTAATATATCGTTAACTTGCTTAAAACATATACTTAATAACACGTGACACCTACACACATACTACATAGGATTGTAAGAGAATTTTATTCACCATTCGCTTTCAATGGCAACAACTAATTTACTTTTATTGCAACACGTTTCATTGCATGCCTACTTACTGTTTATATATTCGCCATTGTATAGCCAGGACACGTCCGGACGGGGATCACCTTTAACAAAACACTTGACCGTGGCGTCACGACCCTCACCCGCCGACTGCACCAACTCCGTTTTGTCAAAAGAGATTTTCTCTGGTTTTTTGGTTGCATTGTTGAGCACCGTTTATTGTTTGTTGTTATTGTTGTGGGGCACGATGAAGTGGCAAGCAGATGAGTAGACGAATTTTATATAATTTTATTTTGTTTTCGGTATTTTTTATTTTATTTTGTTTTATTTTTGTTGTTGGAATACATTCACATTAGCCACAATGAGTCAGGCGGATATCCACAATACCACAACAAAGCGTTTACGAGCCGGTAAGTAGGGGCGTATGAGTAACCAACATTAAGGATATACGAAATGGTAACGAAGTTAGTCGACCAAGCGAAGGAATTACGAAACGATGTGCAAGCAAATGTTTAGAAAAATAGAAAATCAAACAAAAAGACGATGAAAAGAGGTAATTTATGTGGCAAATATATATATGTAAATAGATACGCCTTCTAAGCGTTTATATGCCTTAAATGTTTGCGAAGGTATACAATAAAGAGGTATGTATATGTATACGTATGTATGTATGGAAGTGTAGTGGAGGTGGCAAAATTGTTGAATAGATTATTTCCTAATGATAAATAAAATAAAGCAGGCGTTTGTGACACTTGGAACAATGAGATGATATGAATAAGTATAAGTATTTGAGGGACGCACTAACACAGATTTATAAATATGTTTATATATCGAGTAAAGATGTTTATGTGTATATATGTAGTTATGTGTGAGCTTGTATAAATTACACAAGATAAACCTGCACGGAAGTGAACGTACGATTTACGAGCAGCTCAAAGGACCGCCTCGCCTCACCGCTGGCCACTGTTGCGGTGCTGCCAGCATCCGGCGTTGATGCTGCTGATGTGGCTTCGTTGTTATTGTTGTTAGTTAGCGTTGCCTCACACGTCCAGTTGCCCTTGTCCGTCAGCGCAATGTGCTCGAAGACCAACGCCAAAAATTCTGCATGCATGCCATTAAGCAAAAAAGAAACAAAGATGACGAAAAGAAGAAAAGCAGTAGATGGAGAAAACACAGAAGAAGAAATATTACATACAAATCAGTAGTGTCGCATAAACTACTCGGTGGTGGGAGAAGTGATATATGTAATATATGAATAAATGAATTGAAAGCGAAAATTTTTACTTTATATTCCTGTAAGCCGAAAAGTTGCCAACAGCAACAAGCATTAAGCATGACGACGCACAGACACGCGCACACAAAAGTTAATTACACAAACATATGCAACGGTATATACATATATATGTATATGTATGTACATATACATATGTATATATGCGCATAAATGCTGTGTGCCTATGGACACATGTAAGCGGGATTTATGAAAGGATAAGTCTTTTTGGTTTATTTTCTCTTGGAGAATTTGCATTTTTGTATTACAGCTGTGATGTGGTTCGTTGCACGTCTTTCGCTTGGCTGGACGTACGATCTCTCTCGCAATGTCAGCATGTCAGTGGCACAAGACAGTGACGTAGCTACAAAGGAGCATATACAAAGAATGTCGGTGAGCTTGTACCTATTTGGAAATTTTCACTAGTTTTGTAACTATTGGAATTTTCCGTACCCAGTTTTTTAGTTTCGCAAATTGTTCGGCAGGTGGCAACCGTTTTTGAACACAATAACTATTTTTTGACACAAAATTCTTCATGACTTGAAAATATGTCACTCTGGCAGATCTTTTTCTTTTGAGACAATTAACATAGTCAGTATATTGATCGATCGGTCGCACACTAAATCTCATTCATCGCATCGTTACTCTTAACCACTGCCATGCCGTCAGTTTTAATTCACAGAACCATGGAATTTCGTTCCCTTAGTTGTCCGATCCTATAAATATTAACTTAGCGTTTAAGATGGAATTTTGGTCACAGCAAGGGCAAAGGGAATTATACTTGGAATTTTAATATGATATTGAAAGATAATTCCTAGTTGCAAGTTCACAGGAGAGATCCAAATTAGGATCCAAGCGAAGAAGCTGTTGGATATCTGAGGTATGGAAAACTAAACATCAATACTTATATGCCTACTTTTGGTATAAAATACACAAATCTTATAAATTTTGAAAACATCTATATCTATACATTATATAAATGTGTCTACCTTGTGTCTATTCTCGTTGCATACACCACAAGTTGAGGCCAGAACGACCTGTGTCGGAAAGGTAAACAATACAAGTACATATGTTGGATTCATCGCTATTTTCTTTGCTTCAGTTTGCTAACTATAACTTAACGGACGGTTATTTTTGATTCGAAAGAGTGCGAACTGCATCAAAGTAAAAAGGATTGAGATATTCTAAGCTACCTCTCTTTAAAGAGAGTATATCATACAGTAAATTCAAAACTACAGGCAAGCACAAACAAACGAAATAACTTAGGAACCACTTAGGTGACAATTACTTAAAACTGTTGATTGTCGACGTCCAGAAAGATAGTGCAGGAATAATCGGAATAAAATGATACCGGTAATTAGTTTTCAATAATCATATACTGCTGATGTTTTCAATAAATTGTTGGCAAATAACAGATACTTTGATTTTGTTAAGACCTTACGGATAAGATTTAATCTATCTCAAAAACAGGTACTTTTTTCACAACCTTCGAATATAGTCAGAAATCATTCCATTTTGTGCATTGAAAGGGTTTGAGGACATAAGTTCCTCTTCTCTCCAAACCGTTACTGTTTTTCGCTCTATTATTCAATATTTACATTAAAAAAAGATTCAATCAAAAACCCCCCGAAAATTCTTACTACGCCACTGTCACAAAACATCGCTGAGCAACAGTAATTGGCATAGAAGCTGTGTGACTTTGTTGTAGCAAAAGAGGCGTTGATGCTTTTGCATAATGCCGCAAATGTCACCGGCAAAGAACAGAAAGTGACAAGGCTCAGTGAGCATCAACTCATACGCCAAAGTAGTTCCGGGAAGTGACAGAAGCAAAAAGTACCGCTAACGATGGGAGGACAACGCATTAGCGTAAACTCGTATATTTCTATGGTTAACATGACACATAATTTGTTGGTCAGTTGTACGTTCTTATTTAATTGCACGGCTTGAAGTAAGTGCAGAGTCTCTTTGTAAAAGAGGGGGAGGGGAGGGAAAAATAATTTTTAGGAGTAATTATGCATTTTTTTTTAATAAATTTTGTTTGCGGTAAGTAAATGGTAGTTAAATCGAAAATAAATGCGTTATATCACCAACCAGTTTTCTTTTCGATATGCACACGCCCTTTTGTATTTTCCTTTGGCACCCCTTTAGGGTCTTTCCATTTCGCATTCACATCCTTTTGTACTGTTTTACAGAATATAATGAAAGAATCATTTACAAAATGTGTGATAGATGGTGTCGAGGGTGCCAGGGTTAGCCAACTGCCCTCCAATTGGCCGAGAACAGCAACTGCAAAGAGAGAAGGATAAAGCTGTTTAAAAGAATATACAATATTTTAAACTCAAAAAACGTAAAATAACTAAGTTATAAATACAAAGTTTAATAAATTTAACAAATGATAACAAAACTAAATATGGAAACCTACTAAAAGTGCTCGATGATTTTTTTTTTATATGATCGTTTCTTGCTGGAAGCATAGCTAAAAGTAGGGTACAGCAAGTGCAAACATTATTTTTATTATAAAATATAGGAGAAAGACCAGAGACCATCTTTTAGCTATGCTGCTGCAAGGTTACATCCTTCATAATGACATAAAATAGAGATCATTCTGGTTCTTAAGACCCTACTATGCTGGAAATCGTTGTCCGACAAATGAAGCATACGATCCCCACTAAAGTTACATCTACGTAATCGGAACTGACCCCGATTTTTATTCGGCCAAAGACTGAAAGCTCGGCAGCATTCCTCAATCAAAGCATATTTTAATTGTTCAAAGTTTTTTTCTTAAAACTGCTTTCAGAAAATCTCCAATTATTTGATACTGAAGTATTAGAAAAACTAAGGATCGGTGAAGTACTTGGTGAGTGAAACGCAAGTATACAAAACCTTCGGACCAATAAACCTTTTACGATAAGAAATTAAGTATTGCAATCCCAATTCACTAGAAGGTTTAACGTCTTAACCATACCCTAGACCTAGTGTTACTAATATATTTAAATTTTTCTGTAAAATGTTTCTTTACCTAAATTGGATTTGCATCTATTATAAAATCGTACCTTAAGGCATTGCACCACAATCTAGATAAAGATAAAATCAGTTAGAAGTGGAATCAGAACAGACTAATCAGAGAACTAATCCTTTAAAATAAACTAGCAACAGGTCTATCAGTATAGCTTTTACAGATTCGATAAAAAGAGGTAAATTAATTTCAAAACCTAAGAAAAGTGTTACCTTTCACACAGCAATCAGTTAACATATTTTTATTTTGCAACAAAACTAACGTATGGGTTTCGAACTTTGAGGTTACATACATACCGCACAATTTCGTATAATACCTGCAAACCATTAACATAATAAATACGAATTAAGTAACTCAATCTCTATCGCCGAGTAAACATCAAATTCTATTAGTATTTTACAATATCTGTGTAGGAGTATGATTTAGACGAGTGGATTGAACGGTTTTTGCGTTTCTGAGAGTAGTTTTTGAAATCAATATATAATTGTAGGACTTATTTGTGAGCAAGTGATAATGATTCTCGGCGAGGTTAGAAATCCTAAGCAAAGAAAGATTTGAGAACTTTTAGCTTAATCGTTTGAGTCAGTTAATAAAAGTTTCCGAAACACACTCTTCAATGATAGTTGCTTTTCCTTTATAATATAATATAATTGTCATAATAGACATTGTAAATTTACTACTTTTGATTTTCATCTCTTGTGTTTTATGCCGAAATTGGTTTTTACTTCACTTTCTTATATCGAATGCTCAATACGCTTGGGCATAATATTGTTTTACGATTTCTTTTCACTTGTACAATATTTATGACACATCAATTTCAAACAAGTCTGTTTGTATGTTTGCGTGTACTTTTGCAGGTTGCTGCAGTTTGTTGTAGCAATTTGGCGTCTGTTTCTGCAGCAGTTAATGCTCGGAGAAGTGCAACATTTTAGCGCATTGCGTCATTTACGAGTATTGAAAACTAATTCACTCTGAATGTATAACGAGTATTGTAAAATATTGATGGTGTGGTTTTCTTATGCACGAAAAACAGAATCGTCAAAGTTTTCGTAATTTTCAAGACTTAGTTGCTTATTGAAGAGTGCAATTAACTAAAGTGTTATTCTTCAGAAACATTATAGCCACGTAAACACTATTCATTGAGCAAATGTTGTTGATAACAATGCAATGTTTCAGATTAGAAGATCAGAACTTCAAATAAATATGTATTGGTCGATTCACTTCTGATATAAACGAGCTACACATCAAAAACTCTGATTAAAAGAAATATCTGATTGCACAGCCGTGATAATCTGTAAATTTTCCTTCATTTTATATATATTTATCAAAAGATCAACCATTTCTTTATGGATTTATTTCGCAAAGCATTCGGACACAGATTGGCAATTCCACGAATTTTCCACCCTTTTACTCTTAGCAGCTTTTATGACTACGTAAAAAACCTACCTATGTTATTTAACCATTGTAAACGTAAAGGCACATTTTTTTATAGTTGGTTTGAGAGGAGAGCATTTTATCACATAACGATATGTGGAACGTTTCCTATATTCCCTTATTCATTAAAACGTCCATGGCGATTCCCTTTTTGTTTTGGATTGCTAAATTATCGGTTCATAATATAAAATAAATATCTTTATTAAGAGACCTCCGACTCAGTAATTGGAAATATATTTGCCTATGAATTCATCTAGTCCATAATAAAGAGCAACCAAACATTACTTATAAAACGTAGAAGAAGACGTCCTTAATATCTCAAATAAGGTAATCCTAATAGGGTCATTCCATGTCAAATCGACAAATAGTTGGACGCGACTCCCACCGATTTAAACGAATTTTTATGAAAAGTTTTGTCTTATCATAAAACGAAGTTCTGCCAAAGGGAAAAGTTTTTCCTAAGAGCTATGCAAAATTGAAAATTTCACTGTTTTCTAGATTTTATGAGTTTATTTATTTTAATATTTCCAAATTTGAAGTCTAAAATATTTTTCTTTAATATTTTCAATTTGACATGGAATGACCCAATAGTATTCTCTTAAAGAAAATTCAATCCATAGCTCTTCATTCCGGAATACGCAGTTGCTATTAACAATTACTCTAACCCTTTATTATCATGGCCGCAGATCTTAAATATTATGAACAACCTTTATATCCGACATGGAGATCAAGATTCAATGCAGTCAAGAGTTGGTTACGTATGTGCAACAGTGTTCAGGCTGGTATGGTGGAAACAAATTTAGGCTACATTTCTATAAATTTGAGACTTCGCAGAGTTTAGTTGTGCGCTGAACTTGGCAAAGTGAGAAACTTTCTCCTTTTCAAATGATGACCAAGGCATATACCATATGTACATACATATATTCTGATCAAGTTTTGAGATATGCAGTTATTACAGTAGACAACTTAGAAACTCGTTCATCTAACAAGCTAAGCTCAAATTTATATCAATCAGATAAGAATCCTTAAGGAGGAAAACTGCCAAAAGTTAGTTAATAGTATTAATATTAGAATTAGTAGAAAATTCCAAAACAACTTTTTAAAATTCTTTAGTGTGTTTGCATCTTAAAAAGTTCTTCGAAGTGTTTTGAAAATACAAACAAACACCGGACAACTGAAAGAAAATGTTTCAATATGCTGTAGGAGCGATAGAGGGCTATATTGAAAATTCTGTATATGACAATGGCTTTGTAGAATCTCTACTAGAGCTGAGATGGTTCCTCTAACTTCAATTCACTGAGTCTGCTATTAGTATATCGGTTATTGATGACAGAAGCTTATATGGCTATAAAACTAATGATAGATGAAGCAATGTTAGTTTAGGTAAAAAAAATAAAATAAATTAAAGTATCATAAGAAATCTTCTTCTAATTCAATAATAAATCGTTTGGCGGAAACCGTCTCTTGAATGCTTTGTAGTCATATATAATATTTTATTGATTTCAACAAGTTTTAATTCAGCTGTATTATATAGATATATTCCAAAATTCGAATGAAAGTGCTTACTAAGTGATTTCAAAATTATTTAAATATATTTAAAAACTAATTGGTCTCGCTCGATTAAATATACTGAATTTAATCTCGCAAATTTTCGAAAAATCGTAATATATCCAGCCTATACCTGTTTTATACCTAAAATTTTGATCAGACTTCTCCATTTTCATAAATATTCTTTCTCGTCTTCACAAAAGTCTAAGTACCATTGTTCTGATTTTGAACTCCTTTCTTTATTCTAACCACAAATGGGAAGTGAGACTTTACTTCATACACGTGTACATTTTTCATTTTCCACCACACTAACTACCATTATACGCCAGCATGATTCACAAGTCCAACCATTTGAAGAGCTTGAAACAATTTCATCACATGACAACTCTTGACGTTTCCCCATTATGCAAGCGTTAAGCCTTGACAGCCGAAAGGCCGGAAGCATAAAGGATAAAGGGAAACAGTAAAAACCAAAAACAAATGCTTGCATTGCAAATGTACTAAGTAGACGAGGAATGAATATACAAATTAAGATAAAACGCAAAATGCCAGAAAATATATGATATAATTAGCATGAATGTCCGAATTGCATTAGCATGTGTGTTTGTGTTAGCGGATAAGCGAAATTGTATATGTAGTAGTTAGTATATTACCATTTTGACTGACGAGTAGAATGAGTAAATGTAATAGAAATAATAAATCCATTGCGAATTCGTATTATTGTGGTTGCTATTTTGTTAGCACGTCACACACATACACACAAGTACGCCCGCATGCACAAGAGCCCTTTATAATGTTATTTAAGCCACTTATTTTATGTGCGTTGTTAGCTTTTTGTTGTTGCTGTCACACTGAATATACTGCTCGTAATCCACTAAAATCATGCGTAACTGTATTTGGGCGTCTGTTGTTGTCACAGAGTCTGGTGGCCACTGATGTGCTGCTAAATTATCCTTTTTAATGTTAACGTAATCCTTTATGGGTAATTAAATCCATTTTATATATTGTGCGTATCGCTGAATGTTGGCTTGAATGTGGAGTTGTATAGTGTAGAATTAGCAGCGATTAACGTTATTTTGTTGCTGTAATATTTTAAGGATGTTTATTTAGCCTAATTGTATGTTATTTTATTCACTTTTGTATGCATTAAACGTAAACTTTGTTTAATATTATTTTATTTAATCTTTATGTTCTTCTTTATCATTTCAGATTATCTCTTGAAATTTATCTTTTTGCTCTCATAAAATTGTTTTATTATTTCCAACTTTATAATATTAGTATATTAAATTTTTGGTTTAATTTCTGCAATAGAATTATGTGTATAATTCAACGCTTTTATTTAATTAATTGAATTAAGTGTAAATAATAATACATTTAAAATTTGTTTAGTTGCACTTCTATTTCCATTTCTTTCTGTCTATTCAGTTCAAATAAATGTTTCCCATACAGTGCAATTAAATTACAAAAAAAGATAAAACGTTAGCTTCGGCTGCACTAAAACTATAATACCCTTCACAGTTCAAAAAATTTCCATTCATGAACTTGATTTTGTTAGGTCAATTTGTATGGCAGCTATATATACTATAGAAGGTCCAATCTGAACATTTTTTTCAGAAATTGTACCGTTGCCTTGGATAATAATCCATTCCATATTTCGTGAAGATATCTTGAAGATGAAAAAGTTTTCCATACAAGAACTTGATTTTGATCGTTCAGTTTTTAGCGCAGCCTACATATATGCTATAGTGTTGCGGTTCCGACAATTGAGCAGCTTCTTGGAAACAAAGGAACGTGTGTAAAATTTCAGATCAATATCTCAAAAACTGAAGAACTGGTTTACATATGTACAGAACGGACAGACGTACATGGCTAAATCGACTCCGACGTTTCCTTCTGGGTGTTATAAACATTATTAAATTAGTTTCATCTAAATAGTGATTTATTGAATTTAACAACATTTAATTGAAACAATTCATTAGTACAATTTAATTCAATAAATTTTAGTTAATTAGTAGTTAAACCCAACAAATCCAATTAGATAAGATGACTTAATTCGGTTGACTTGAACTCAATTCAATTACTTCAAATTGAATTCAGTGAGTTGGATTCATTTCTAAATAACTCAAGGTGTTCAAGAGGGACACATAAGGTGTTCAAGAGGGAGAGGCTAGAGGAAGTGTTAAGCTAATTCTTTCCAAACCTAGTAGAGAGCGGAGTTTTAGCAATTATCTAATAGCAAACGGTGTAAAATTGCAGGAAAGTAAAGTTAAATTAAAGTGAAATATATTCCTAGAATAAAAATATGGCAAAATTTCACACAACAGTGTTTGTTGTATTCGTCCGAACCTCACCTAGTAGCACTTCGATTGACCAGCCGTATTGACACTCGTAACTAGACGAAGTCTTAAATAAAAGCAATGGTACAAATTTGGTTTTTGTATATCTTTTTTTATAATTCAACGAGTTACAGTACCTATTTCTAGGTCTAATTGACATGTCTTCTTTTTATGTCCTGTACAGAGAATAAAAGGTTTGTCAGGAAGTTTGTAATACTCAGAAGTAAATTTCGGAGACCCTATAAAGTATACTAGTATATGGGTCATTCCATCAAAAATTTACGTTCAACTATTTTTTTCGTACAAAACATTTGGTTTTCTTTGAGGCAAATTATGGCACACATATTTTTTTATTTCGACTCGATATGAAAAATGTTGGAGTTATGAACCTTTACCATAAACATTTGCGCATACGAAGAAATATATTTCATTATAAAAATAACTAGCTAGAATATTCTTTGCGATTTTTTCTCAGCCTTCCAATGAGATATACCTTGAAATTTTCGACTTTTTTTTTAAATAAAAATATATTTTTATAAAGAAATAATTTTTTATTTTGGAACTATTTTTATTCAGTTTTTTTTTTAATTTTACATTCATTCTTTTGTCGAAATCGCTGATAATAGACCTACAAACTGATCAATCAAAACAAGCGTTTGTATGGAAAACTTTTTTATTTGACGAGATCTTTTTTATTAAATTTGGATTATTACCCAAGATAACGCTACAATTTTCGAAAATATTGTGCAGATCGGACTACTATAGCATATAGCTGTCATACAAACTGAACGATCAAAATTAAGTTTTTGTAGTGAAAACTTTTTTAGTTGACACGATATCTTCACAAAATATCCAAAGCACAAATTCACCAGATCGGACTACAATATTTTGTAGCTGCCATACAAATTCAACAAATAAAATTAAGTTCTTGTATGGAAAATTCTTTATATAATATAGTGACCTTAATTCTAATTAAAGTTGTTTATATCAAATAATGTAGCTAAAAAGAACTAGCAAAAGATTTTCCGTGGATGCAAACCGTTAGTCGATTACGTTTTCAGATTTAGTTATACATAGCTGTTGTTATACGAAATGCACTTGCGACTATGTGCAAGTATGTAGCTTTGATGCAGCCGAAGTTAATATTTTGGTTACACTTTAACGTTTAATAAGCTTTTTAATTTTTGTTATGTTGCTTAACATATTTTAATCAAATTCCTTATATTTATTAAGTTTTTCATTTTCAATACATGGATATATTTTATTTCTTATATTATTTTATTTTATTTTACTTTATTTTATTTTATTGTATTTTGTTTTGTTTTATTTTATTTTAATTTATTTAATTTTATTTATTTTTATTTTATTTTATTTAATTTTTTTATTTAATTTAATTTTATTTCATTTAATTTTTTTATTTTATTTTATATTATTTTATTTATTATTTATTATTTTTTATTTATTTATTTTTAAATTTATTTTATTTTACTTCATTTTATTTTATTTAAATTTTATTTTGCATATAATTTTACTCATTATATTTAATTCAAAATAATTTAATTTTACTATTTTGTTTTGCTGTTATTTTTTATTTCGAGTAAATTAAATAATATATTTGCACTTGTTTCATTTAAAATTTATTGTTTTTATTTTTATATTTTTTGCATAGCTGTTATTTGTATATTAAATTCACTTTTAATATTCACGCACATTTGCATACCTCAATTTATAAGAACTTCTGTTGTTGTCATTCACATTCACATAGGTAATTTGCTATGCTTTAATCATACAATTTTTGCATAAATATTTTGCACACCAACGCACTATCACACGCATGACATCATTCAGAAACTTTTGCAAAGCCAACATACAGTTAGTTGGCAAGGAAAAAAACGCAAAGAAGACACCGTTCATCACCAAGTGGCCAAGCTACACTTTACAACCACACTGGGTTCACCAACGCCGACAGCAAAAAAATTGCGTGCTGTAGGTCACACTGGCAGCAAAAACGCCCACAGCGGCATGCCGCCACCGATGACAACATTTTCAAAATTGCCGCCAACCTATCCTTGAAACATGAATTTCCTGTTATAAACGAGTTCGTTAGTCGTCAGGAGCTACAAAACAAAGCATACACTCGGGCACACGCACACGCACGAATACTCGTTAGTACGAACGAACACAATAATTTCAAATTTCGCTGCAACAAAATTTATTTTTTGTAAATCTTTGAATTTTCAACCGATTATCCTTTTACGGCTTTGCCACTGTACTCGCGTTAACTCGTATTAGCCTTCGAGCTTTTGTTGTATTGGACGACAAGTCATGGTTAGTGTGAAGGAGAAGAAGAAGAGAAAAACGCGTCAAAACGCCGCCACTGCACAATGATGACTGAATTGTTCCTGCTGCCAAGCAAACGGCAAAGCCACCAAACCAAGGATGCGAATGTTGTTGATGGCCATCAACGACCAACACGCACGAATTGAGATTTTTGCTTCATATGACACAACAAGCGGCGAAGGATTCGCACGAGCGGCATAGCGATTCGGCAGCACGATGCTCCAAAGCGCGCCAACAATAACAAATGCGGTGCAGTTGAATAACCGAAACAAAAATTAAGTAAGAACGTCAATGCACCGCTACCAACACGCTGTCAACGCACTGACAGCCCAACTAAAACACGCACGTATATATGCGTGTGCGTATATGATACAATTGCCGTTATCCGTTATACCGTTGTGGCATTCGCTGTCAGTAGAGCGCGTTCAAATCTCGGCTGTATCAGAAATTGCACTGAAGTTACTTCGCATCCTGTCGTCTCCTTTATTTTGAACAAATGAAATGTAGTTCATGCAGCTCGTTAAACATGTTGACACACTTTATGCCACTGCCATCCATTCGGGTATGGGCGTATGCGTGGCAGGGTATGTGTGTATGTGTTTGTGTGGTGGCATCATCAGCATCGTGTCGAGCATGTTGCACGATGCCAGTGTGCTTCGTCAACTTTACGAGTCTCGAAGTGATGTCATGTGGCGCCAGTGCACGAAGCTACCGGTGTGAGAACGTCTGGTGCCGAAGCGTGTTGCTGGCAACATGTTGTCTAAGGCATACAGGATATGCGTACTCATGTTGACACTGAGCATGGCGTAAGAGAGAGTTGTAGTGTATGAGAGCTTAAAATGCTCTGAGCGGGAGATTTTTAGCATTGTTGAAATTCAAAAGCTTTCTGTTTTATGTCAAGGATTATGTTATAAAATGCGTATAACAGTTTATATTTCCATAAAGATAAACTAAAATGGAATGTACGTGCAAATAGATAAAGGTTTTTAACCATAATGGCAAGTTGTTGACTATAAACTGGATTGCATTTCGCAAAAGCTTCTTTTTCCAAGTTCTATTTTGAATTATTATAGTTTGTTATCACAAATCAGTGGAAACCTTATTAATAATAAGCTTGAATGAATATGAGCTTTAGTTTCTTACCAAATCAACAAACCTTCATTAAAAAACCACAAAAACAAGCAGGTGGTTTTAATATAAGAGAGTTTTCATGCTTTTGCTAGTGCATTTATAACAGTTGTTTGTAGGATTTGTTAATCTTAAAAAGTCTAATAATTATTACCTTTTTATACCCAAAAGGAAACGTCAGAGACCCTATAAAGTATATAAAAGTATGTATACATATATAATATATGATCAGCGCGATGAGCTGAGTCGATTTAACTATGTCTGTCTCTCTGTCCGTCTGTCCGTCCATCTGTATGTATGCGCAGTAGCGAATCAGTTTTTGAGATATCGATCTGGAATTGCGGGTGCATATTTCTCACGAAGAAGCTGTTCATTTGTTGTAACGGCCGATATCGTACCACTAAAGCATATAGCTGCCATACATTCTGAATTATGATGTAATCTCCAAAGAAATTGTTCAGATCGGATTACTATAGCATATAGCTGCCATACAAACTGGCCGATTAAAATTCGTGTAAGGAATCTTTTGTATTGGGAGGGATATTGCATCGAAATTAACGTTTTTTCTTGTTTCGTTTAAAGACGGTAATTTCTTGGCCGCCTGCTACACGTCTTTCTTTAGTATTTTCCTGATTTTGGAGTGTTTCAAGAGACACAATAAGTATATGAAGCACCAAAGCAAATGATTTTCATTAAAAGGAATTGTTCAAAATACATATCTTGGAGAGAGGTTCAAAAACAATCATGGAGAATACTTTTAGAAACATTAAAATAAGTTGCAATAACGAGTACAACTACCAATAATATTTTTCTATTATATAACTTTTAAGCTCTCATATCTAAAAATTTTCAAAACTATTCATATCTATCTGAAATGGCTTCCATAACAGGTTAGGTCAGCCTTCAAACCGGATGTAATTTTACAATTTATTCAGAAAGTAAATAATAATTACTCTGTATTTCAGGCTTTATTAAACAACTATGTATTTGAACGTTAAACAAAAAAGACTTACTAGCGAAGAAAATTTTTTGCTTCAAATAAATTTTACGTTAAATGGCTCGTTTGTAAAAATTGATCTATACTATAAATCTCGGGTATCCGTCCCGCTCTCAATGGGTATGGTTATTAAGGCAATTAAACTATCAGTGAAAAACTCGATAAACATCATCCTGGTACCCAGTCATATAGGAATAGAAGGAAATGAAACGATAGACGAATTGACCAGTTTCCTTTGAAAAAAAAAATGTTTTATTTAATTATATAACATCTCCAAAATATGGCCCGAAATTCTCAGGTTGATCCGAATAATAGTTTTGGAGATACAGTTTTAAAAAGTTGTGCGCACGAGGTCATCTATGTATGTATATAGTCACTTAAAACTTTTTACGCGTTTTTCTCGAAACTGTGTTTTTAAAGTCGGTTGTCAAGATTTCTCGCGAACTACTCAACCGATCTTAATAATATTTTACACAGGTCTTCCAGATATAATTTACAAGGTCTGGAATTAAGATTTTTTTTTTCAATTAAAACTATTTAAAAATAAAACCTCGAGTAATTTTCACCGAAATGTTTATTTTTTTAAAAAACGTCTGTAATGGCCGAGTATTGTATATTTTCCATTGACAATTTCAAAAATTTTTGTAAGATATATATCTTTTGAATAATGAAAAACTTGAAAATAGACCTTTTTATGTTCGAGGAAACCCATGTAACCCCTTAAGCTGCCCTATACTGTTCAGCTCCTTCAAAGATTACTTGTAGCAATGGACTTAAGCAAAACACCCCACGGCCAACTAACTCTAAGATCACAATTTCAGGAATTTGGTAAAGTAGAATTGACAGAACGCAGAGCATGTGCGCAAGGTGATGAGACGCTAGAACATTACCTTAGCGAATACCCAACTGTTAGCCGGTTAAGACGAGATAGACAGTTAAGGTAGAGAAATCAGATATTTTATCAAATGGGGCTGGGTTGCTGAATAGGCACGTTGGAAACACAATGGGTTTATTGATGGATTA